GTTTCTTGTTTTACTCACTAATCCATGTCATATCACTATAGTCACCAAACTGGGATGGAGTCAACGTTAACATTATTCAACTGTTCACTTAAGCACTGGCATAATTGTAGTTGTCTTCCTGGATTAATTTTGTTACTATAATAATTTATGGTAAACTACTTTGTTTGAACAATATGATTACTATGAAATAGGATGAGCAATTATATCTATTTTAAGACAGAAATTTTGCTGTGGGAAAAGTACTTCCCACTCTGCTCCTAATTTGTAATGAAGTTCTACTAGGAGAAAAACTCAGGGTATTTTGGGAGCCATTGCTTGAATATCAAGGTTCTAATAGTTGACAGAGATATTTGTTTTGTGAATAAAAACTAAGGCCAAGTTCCAAGAAATACTGCCTTTCTACTGAAGAATGAGGCAGGGGCATTTTATTTAGAAAAACTTGAGGTGAAATCAAGAAATTTACACCTGGATGTTTGATTGTCCTTACTGAAGCATGTGACTAGCATCACTTCTAAGGAAAAAAGTTTCATAGTCCTCAAAACACTATGTCTGTATTTTCACAATAAAGTATAAATGTATCAATATTCATGAGTTATGAATTATATTTCACTTGAAAAATACTTCAAGCAATAGCCATGCACTCAAACTTAGAGAAGTAAACATTTCCAAAAGCATTAGAAAATTTCTGAGAAATGGGGATTTTTTTCATTATGTAGATTTGAATTCTCAGAAGAGTGGTCAAGGACACATCTGCTGGTATGACTGTAGAATGCTTGAATATAGATAAATCTAAATGCATGATCTTGTCTGGGTATGAACTCTAGTATTGCATCTTCTTACACTCATCCCTTGCTACCTGCTCACTGAAGAAACCAGGGATCTGAGCTTTCCAGAACTCTCAAGGGAGTTAAGTGATCAGATAGACAGCATGGATGAATTTGGAAATCACATGTCCTTTGAGAGATTCCATCTCCAAGACAAGGAGGAGAGAAGTCAAAGAATACAACATATATAGCTTCTGCCCTCCAAGTACATGCATACATATGTAAACATGCAGCACATGTACATGTAGCCCACACCCATCTGTAGACAAGCAAGTGGTGAATGCACACACACATACACACAATTAAATAAAAAGAAAACATCTCAAATTTGTCTGTTGGCACATGTACTAAAATTGAAAAAATACCAAGAATGGGTTGGGTCCAGTGCATGGATGACATACCCTTATTTCAACCATTTCATATTCAAAGACATTCAGGGTGGTTCTAGTGAATCACCTTTGAAAACCAAGGCAGATGTTTGAGACTTAAATTATGCATAGTGACATTTAAGTACTTCTTTTGTTGAAATATACAAATGTGTGTGTGTGTGTGTGTGTGTGTGTGTAAGAGAGAGAGAGAGAGAGAGAGAGAATATGTGTGTCCTACAGTGTACAGACCATCCTTGCTCACCTGTTGATTTTTAAGGACATCTACCACATTAAATATGAAAGATCCTAAGTTCCTTTTCTGTGCCTACAATCACTTCGGTTATAAAGCCATCGATGGTTATTCTACTACTTTCAAAATCTGGTATCTTCTTTAGACACGTTGAAATTTTTACCATATACCTTCTGTATAATAACTAGAGATGTTTAATAAAACATTTTAAGGAAACTTGACTTCACAGTTCCTAATTAAGAAACATAAAGATAGTAAATTTAATGTGGGTTACAGAACACTCTGAATTTTCTAGCTATTGCTTTTTTTGCTCCCCTGTCTTTTCAGCAGCAAGTGGGCTTGCATATTTCCCATTATGTGTATTATTAACTCTACTTCAGAATTAAGGTAACCTGTTTGTTTGAAATCAAGAGAAAAGAGTTTATGGGCCAATAAACAGATATTTCAAGTGGATATAGTTTTGAAAAGTAAATATATATTGTTGGGACAAGTCAGTCAGTGTTATGTAGGAGCAGATGATGAAAGTCTTTTCACAGCCCATAACCCTTTTATTCCCTCTTTTCTTCATACATTCCTCTTTTTTTCTGTATCCCTTCCATCTTCCTTCTTCTCTTTTGACCGTTACTATTTCTACAAAACCTTCTTTCTTTACTAATAGAACTTAAAAATATTTTCTTGCCTCAGGGTCACATAAAATTGAATCCATTATTATTTCATGTGTGTATATCTCAGAAAACAATCTCTTTTACAATGAAAATTTAGGCTTTTAAAGTCTGAAGTCACATTCTGATTTCTGTGATTTCTCCATCTTTATGTTGTGTTTTCTAGAGTCATTGGAATTGTACTGCATTAAAACTCCGTAAGTTTCAGTGTTTTAAAGCACTCTGTGTATGGGCCCCCATGCCATGCACAGTAAAATATGAATACCTGCTGAGTTCCATTGTCATCTCAGCTTTTGCCGCTTTTGTATCCTAACTGAGTCATTTGCTTAAACCAAATGGGTTGATTGTCTGTCATAATTTAAAAATCCACACCTCTCTGAAAATGCACTGAAGAATATATCGTACACAATCAGTAACAGGACACTATACTTCTGCCCTCATAGAACACCTATTTTTCATATAAAATGGCAAATAATTCATGGAGCTACTTGAAATTTATTTATTGACTCTCTCATGGGGCTGTAGCTTTGTACTGTCATAATTTAAGGGTGTTCATATAGAATCCTCTCAGTTCCAATTACACCTTAAAATTGAGCTTGTAGTTTTATTAATTATTTTTGTGTATCTTCCTTTTAATCTATCTTTGTTTGAATGATGAGACCTTTCCCAATTTATTTTCTGCTCTAGTTAACTGTTGCAAGCCTGATAATTACATTTAAAATAAAAATTATAAATGTGGAAAGCATTCTGTAATACATCGCTTGCTTTAAGGACACAGTATGTATGATATACAGCCAACATTAATGTGGTAATATCTCCCTGTCGAAACACATCGTATCTGTTAAATAAACTTTAACATTTTGCCCTGAAAAATTTGTAGTAGTAACATCATGCTTACAATCTATGTGATCTTTTGCTGCATGTAATAAAAGAAAACTGGTAGCTTGCAACCATTAAAGATATATTCTCTTCCAAAATAGAAAGGTAAACTCATGGCCATATTAAGTTTCATTTATTAAATTAAAGTATGCATTTAATTGGCTTGAAAGTCAGTTAGAATTACACTAAGTAGTTCTATTTGTATTTAAAGAACAGAAATGTGCAAATTTAGGTGATTGCTTGGAACGTCATTATAGCAAACTGTAAGATAATCCACTATAAATGATTACCATTAGTTTCTCTACGTGTTTGTTGCTTTCAGAATATCCTTTTGATTTATCTGGAAGACACCATCTTCAATACAGTAGTATGGTATCCAAAGCAGTAACAGTTTAAAGGTCAAAATTATCTAGACATAGGTTGAAATCATTTGCTGTTATATGAGGAGACAAATGTTTGCTTCTTAGCACTCAAGTTGGGTGGCTCACTATTGCCTGTAACACTAACTCCGGGGCTTGCACACACACACACTGATAAGTAATCAAAACAAAACAAAACCATCAAAAGTATCCAAAATAGAACACAATTCATAATTTTGATCTTTTTTTTGAGACAGGGTTCCTCTGTATTGTTTTGGAGGCTGTCCTGGATGGAAATCGCTCTGTAGACCAGGTTGGCCTCGAACTCACAGAGATCCGCCTGTCTCAGCCTTCCGAGTGCTGGGATTAAAGGCATGCACCACCAATGCCTGGCTAATAATTTTGATCTTTAAACTGCCTAAATCTTATATTTCTATCATTTAATGGCTCAACATTTATTGCATTACAGAATATCATTGTTGTATATATAAGCATATTTACTGTGGCTGCCGCAAAATACCAGGGTGCTTTATAAATTAAGATGATTTAGCTCTCTTTTTCATAGAGCCAGTTAATGGTCCTGAGTGAGGGTATACTGCCTGTATGACAGAATAGTAAGTGGCATAATGACAGTTGCATATAAATCAAAGGCAAGACCGGTAATGAGAGACATTCAGAGTCCATACTATTCATGTTAAAACAATTCACCTTTGCACAGTCTAACTCAGTCTATAAGAACAGCAATAGATTCTGTCCAACTATGATACCTAACCTCCATGTAACCATTCTTAGGCAGATCCTATGTCTTACAGGTCACCAATAACTTAATTTTACTACCTTGGGGACCATACTTCCAATACATTTACCCTTGGAGGACAGACAACATTCAGATAACTGCATGGCCTATCAATTTACCATATGGTGAAATACTGAAATGCTATCTGTATTTATATTAAGATAGAAAAGACATTTCTTCCACTTTTCCTCTAACATATCATTTCTCAATTTTAGATGTTATTTGTTTAATTATTTAGTTAGTTAACATTTTGACATTCAAGGGACATTTTGCATCTATTATTTTCTATCTATCATATAGGAAATATATATTGGATGGTCATGTTACTGAACCTTAAATTCAGTATTCATGTAGAATGAAAGTCACCTATATCAGCCTAGCTGAAACTTCACCAGCCACATCACATCCTCTGTGCTTGAACCATGTGGTAGGTACACTGCTTTCTCTGTTATTTGCTCATGGTGTTGGGCTCATTCACTTGACTTGCTGTCCCACTGAACAGTAAGCACTGAGAGAACAAGAAATCAGTCGGTCCTATTCACCTTAGTCCCCATTTCAACATGTTGATCCCCTGTCCCCACAGTGGGTTTGTGGTTCTTTTTACTTTCACTTGTCATTCTTATAAAGCATTTTAAGTTTTAATACTAAGATTAACATTAATATACTGTTGTATGGACTTGTACAAAAGAGTTTGAATGGCTTAGAGATGTATAGAAAATCAAAAGTATAAAATGCAAATAAAGCAATGTACCTGGCTAATACATTAAATATTTGAAAATGTTTAACACTATGAGTATGAATATAGATGAAACATACACATAAGGAAAGTGTTAAGCTTGACTTCTTGCATCATGTTTTATAGGATCTCGTCTTCGTCAAGAAGACTTCCCCCCCAGGATTGTTGAACACCCATCTGATGTCATTGTCTCCAAGGGAGAGCCCACCACTCTGAACTGTAAGGCAGAGGGCCGGCCAACTCCCACTATTGAATGGTACAAGGACGGTGAGAGGGTGGAGACAGACAAGGATGACCCCAGGTCACACAGGATGCTTCTGCCCAGCGGATCCTTATTCTTCTTGCGAATTGTGCATGGGCGCAGAAGTAAGCCGGATGAAGGGAGCTACGTTTGTGTTGCAAGGAACTATCTTGGTGAGGCAGTGAGTCGGAACGCATCTCTGGAAGTGGCATGTAAGTCCCATGAGCCTCCTGTCTATTCTCATTCCACTTTACTTTTTTAACTTCGGCTGTTTCTTACTGATGCGTAGAACCTACAGAGTAAAACAACTGAAATAACCCACAACCTGTGCTTCTCTGAAGAAATATGGTTAGAGTGCCATCAGTATAGGAATAGCAACAATTTTATTTCCATCAAATTAGTGTAAGGCCTATGCTGTTATATTGAAGCAACAGGGAGTACATGATGCTATTCTCATTGAAAATTTGAATTATTGATGAGATACATAATGGACCATCAGTGTTGCTTATGTACAAATCAAAAATTCATGTATAATATGTTAGAAATGCAGACATAAATTCAATATTGCTCTTGTATCTGCTACTTACATATTTATATATACATATATGTACATATACACACACATATATAATGCACATATAGTCAATATCTTACATGTTAAATTTGAAGCAACACATTGTCTTATTCTCTATATTACAGTATCTCCCTTATAAAACAAATTCAGAAACAGTAGATATAGAAGGGAAAATATACCATCAACTACAATGATAACCTTATTTATTTATTGTAGACCACATCAAAGAAGAGAAAACCATGATGTTTCAGCGTTTCTGATTTTTATCTTGATAGTCAAAATAGATAAGAACTTCTTCTTTTGCACTTTTTGTTTTTTTCCATCCCTGTCAACAACAGAAATAAAGATATTTAATATGGACTCCATTGATTTCATGGATGGTGTGTGAAAGATTGTTTTAGTCTTAGGATTTTGGTTGTGTTTTCAACAGTACAATACATTTTTCTAGGAGTTTACTTGTTCTATGGAAAAGTTTCGTCTCCAGTAAACTGTGAGTAAGAGGACAGCAAATGTTCAGCTGAGGAGGAGATAGTGGGATGGCATTGGGAATCACAGGTCCTTCTGTTAAGGTCAATACATTCTATGTGGTATCACAGCAGATTAGATCACTTATGTACAGTGGGTTGAAACTTGAAACAATATGTCATTGTCTTTGCACCTGCAAGTGTCTTTTGGTGATCAAGTCAAACTATTCCTTATTTAACTGTCTTTGTGAAGATCTTGATTCCCTGGTTTAGAGTTTCATTCCAGAAACCATGAACTAACTGATATTTAATGTACATAATTCCAATTAAAAATGAGTGGGAGTTCTTACAATCCATAGTTATGTATGCAAAGCATTGAAATAGAAACACTTAATACCTTTACTAATAATGTGATTTTTCAATACCAAATATCTTCTTTTTTAAAATGAAATACCTTAAAAATAATTAAACAAAGTTTAGTAAAATGAGAAATATGGAAACACAACTTTAAGAAAATAAAGGTTCTGCCTATGTTTTCCATTAAATACAATTTTTCTTAAGCCTTTGTGTATATTGAACTATCCCATTGCTAAATCCTATTGATTCAACATTCAATATTTCTTTGTAGTATAGCTGGGATTGCCTACCATTGTTTTAAGGGTTCAGAGCCTATCACTGCTAAATAACCAAGGTATGGAAAATGAGTTAATGGGGATTCCCAAGAACAGACCTGGGTTCTCTGAATTTTTGCTCCTAATGGATTTTTCTGCACGTCTAGAAACCTGCAAATAGACAGGCATTTTTAGATAAACAAAAATAAAGACATCTTTCTTTTTTTCATAACATTTCATTTTTTTTTCTACTCAGCAGCCAAGAGTCACTTTGCTTTGACTAATTTCACTTCAGAACATTAAAGTTTATCAAAATTGGATGGCAATTTCTTTGTAGAAGAGTAATGAACATTTGCTCTTGAGCCTTAGCTTCATTGGAATTGATCCCCAACCACGTACATCTTTTACTTCATCTGAAATTGTTGCAGTCTGCCCTGAAGAAATCGTGAATAATGAATTTATTGTAAGAGAAAAATATCAGGGCGTGAGTCTTTCCTATGTAATATGACAGTTGTATTTTTTTTGTAAACAAATGAACTTTAAGAAATGTTTGAATGACTCAAAATCTCAAATGGAAAAATCAGAAGGTTTCCAAATTGCATTTTCTAGTGAGCAAAATTCTTTATTTTAATGTCATGCCAACAGCTCATGATAATTGAAGCTACAGAAGATTAAATAATATTCATTTGTTATGAATTTTTTCCATTAGCTTACCAGCCTTCTGTATTTTCCTGTGCAATTTTTAGAACATAAACCTCTCATGCTAAATAAAGAAATACATATTTTCTCCTCTATTAATGTGCTAAGTGACAGGAATAAATAAGGCATTCCAATCTATTGTCAGAATTCATAATTCCCTTCAGAGGACCAATATTTAAATAATTTATAATAGATTGGAGAAAAAAATTAGCCCATTAGAGGGACAAATGGTAGATAGTATGGGAACCCACAGAGTAGAATATTTAAATATTCCCAGATAAGTAATATGGAGAAAGGACCCTAAAAAGGGAAGCATCATTTGAGCTCTGATTTTAATATGAGTTGGATTTAATAGTGTCTTGGCTGAAAAATGAAATTGACCATCATCTGGCTGTAGAGAATGAAGCCTTAAAGAACATATGTACCTGCTAGGCATCAGATGGCTTGCTAGAGGTTGTTTGGAAAGCCTAAGTTGGAAAAGTAGGGATGTGCTGAATAACAGTCTCTAACCTATTTCATTATGTACACAGGACCCTTTGACAGTTAACTGGTGATTACTTTAATAGGATGAAGAATGAAAGTGAGAAGAGTTAAGCCATCACATAACCCAGAAAAGACTAGATCTTAAATGCCAAAGTGAAGAGTAGTGAAATCTGGGTGAGAGGAAGTGATTAGAAATATAACTAAGAGCTACACTTCCTATCAGTTTATGGTCAATTTTCAAGATGGAAAGTGAATTTTATTTTTTTGTGTGTGTCTCAGCATCTGGGTTCCCCATTCTTAAAATTAGAGTGTACAGAAGGAACAACTGTGGGCATGCAGTTCACTTGGTCTGTATGCTTTGATATGTCAAGGAGGCAGCAAGGATACAATACTTGGTGTTCTGCTATTGAATAGCTTCTGGAATTTAGCAAGGAAGTAATTTTCTTTATTTTTTAATAGATTTCTTCTTTTTAAAGATGTTATTCATTTAAAAGTTTGTTTACATTTTACATACCAACTATTGTTTCTCCTCCCTCCCCTCTTCCCATTACTCCAACTTCCCCCCACCGAAAATCCACACTTCTCAGTAAGGGTAAGGGCCTCCCAAGGGGAGTCCACAAAGTCTGTTACATTCATTTGGGGCATTTTCAAATAAAGGTTGAATACATGGAAGTCAGAAAAATTAGAGGAGGGTGGCCAGGTAGGCTGTCAACAGTAAACCACTATGAAAGAAGGAGACCTTTGGCTTGGATCAAGCAGTCACTGATCATGCGAATAAGAAAGAAATGTTGGTATGGGAGGCATGGAGAGAATAGGTGTCAGAGGGTCAGGGGATGTTGCAGTGACAAGGAAATAGTAACCAATGGAGGAAGGACACAGTGGGGGAAAAGGGTTGGATGGTGGCATAGGGGATGTCTATTTTGCTAGAAGGAAGCTCTCTATGGAGAATGGGGAAGCTGGAGCAGAACATCCCAGCCTCTACACAGCCAAGTGTAGATACCATGGGCTTCTTTCATACAAAGGAAGTTTGGAAGTGGCTCTGGCCTTTGTCCATAAACATGGAAGGACTTCCTGTCAGCCCTCGCAGAGATAACCCATGATGACTGCACACACTTATTGTGTAATGATTATTGACAAAACAATATGCAAAACGTTGGGTTCCCCTTACTTCACCTTGATTTTTACTTTAAATGAGAAATACTGTGTTTGTCATAGCACGAAAGTCAGAATTCATTCGTTAGCTGTTAAATATCTACCTTTATTTTCTGTGTGGAAATCGGCTATCAGTCCATATATCACATTCTCTCTCTCAACCCTGTCTCCTTATATCTCCCTCCCCTGCCTCTCCTATCCTCTCTCTCTCTCTCTCTCTCTCTCTCTCTCTCTCTCTCTCTCTCTCTCTCTCTCTCTCTCTCTCTCTCTCTCTCTCTCTCTCCTTTCTTCAGTAATTTAATGCGATGGTACAGAGAAAGAAACAAAACAAAAAATTCACGGATAAGTATTGACACTGAAAGTAGAATCAGCCAATTATTCTTATATTATTTGTGTGCAATTTTTGTTTGTATATTTATTTTTAGCATGTTTAAGGGAAAAATAAGAGTAATTCAGAAAGTCCTTTCAACTCTGTGGAATTTGAAGTGGGGCTTTAAATGGAAAGAAAACAGAATCACAAAGCCACCAGCAAGAGGCCTGGCACTCACAAAGTTAATAGGTGGTTTTCCAATGGGACCCCCGGGAGCTCCAGACACAGAGGTGCGATAGGATTTCAGTTCCCAACAAGTGCTATGGTGTACAGAGCAGAAGGAGTAGGCGGGACCTTCATAGTAGCCCAACATAGCTGCATGAGATGCAGTCAGTCTGGTGGCCTCAAGAGATGGCAGCTGTAGCCCCAGGTGGTAAATATATGATGGCAGCTTGATCTATCGACCAAGGGAAGAGGGGGTTCTGGGCTAAATGAAAATTCATGAAAAATTGATGAAGTCCCCAGATTATTTCTTTCCGTTTCTCTTTCTCAACACCATGATAGTGCAGAGGAGAGAGATTAAATGAAGTGACGAACATTTTTAGTGCCAGGAGGTTGTGGTTCAGAGGTCAGGGGGCACTTCAAAACTAGTTTTTTGTTGTTGTTATTGTTTTTTTTTTTTTTACTATTGCTTACTTTAAAGGCAAATACAGAACTTTTCAAACTACCTTTGTTTTGGTAATTTAAAGCTAAATCTAAATATTCACATGGTGGCTTTTGACTTGACACTCAAGAGAAAATATAAATGATTCCTAAATACAACTGGAGCATGAGTATGAATTCCGAGAGGCAAGGTTGTTTGCTCTTCAGCATTTCCTCTTTCACTCCTCCAGTAACCTCCTTTTTCCCCCTCTCCTGC